ATTTATAATCAAAAACATGATTATAAAGCCTTCAAATGGTCATGAGAATGATCTTGAATGGATAAAAATTTACTAAGCTCCCCCGCGACAAAATGATATACACAATGAAGTATAAAATCCGAAAAAGTCGTGAAAAATTTGACGTTATCACGAAAAATGACTTTCCGAACCGCCAAGACTTGATGGAATCCATAATTTTCTGTTCACGAAAAAAAAAATATGTGCGTTAAAGAATTCAAAACTGTTCACCAGCCCTTAAAATTGTAAACTTTTTCGAAAAATGGGCTGAAATTGTCACTTTCCAGAAACTCAGGGGCTGAAACTGTAATCATGCACCAATAAACCCCTTTATTTGTAACAAAATCTGGAATTGGTCTAAAACTGCCAAGGCATGAAACGCATAGGGACCAAAGGAGTCAAATCACCGAAGTTTCAGGGACCATAAGTGTAATATGTTTATCTTCTTCCCCATTTTATCTGTGATTAAAAGAACAACCGGAACGAATCAAATCGTAGAAGAAAACCAAAGTACCGATTCCAATCAATTTCATCGTTTCCTATCATGAAGACGCGAATCTGAGTCACTTTCGTTTCAAGCACAACCAACCGAACCTAAGTTCGTTCCAGGTTCATTGAACCGAAACCATGTTCGGTCCGAGCACAGGTTCGCTTTCGGTCCTCCCCTCTTTCTTCCAAGTGCTTTCGTTCCAAGAGCTACCAACCGAACTCCATTTCGTTCCAGGTACATTCCAAAGCCATTGATACAAAAGCGAACTCAAGTCCCAATAGCTTAATTTTGACTTTCAGTTTGACCATTGTTCATCCCGATTAATACCCGTTCGCATCAAATTTCCGAGTATGACAGAAACCATGATTGCAATACACACACTCATAACAACATCTTTGTACATCGTCTTGATTGAGAGACCACTGATCCTGATTGCGAGACGAATTTGCGAGAACAGATGCTAAAAGATACGATACCATCTTTCCAAATCAAACTGACTTCGTATTTCAGTTCATAACAATCGCAATCCATAGTTTACTTCCGTTCACTTCTTAGCAGATGAGAGCACCATTCCCAAAAAAAATCACAGTATCGATTCAATCTCCATAATTTTCAATTTTGACTTTTCTTGTTTGACAATTCAAATCCAATTGCCGACAAACACCAAAGTTTAATTTCCACATAACCATTTCAGATCAAACATCAAATTCAGAATCATTATCAATTGTTCTTGACTGATCTTCGTTAGGAATCAACAAAACACCATTTAATGAGATTTCTACAAAATAATCCTCAGAATGTAATCGAGAAGAAGAACAGATGGAGCAAATCGATTCAAACAACATAATCAAATAACAAAATAGAAATCTATTCTGAGAATGGTATTGTTTATGGATATCGGACTCAAGAACAAAAGAATTTGAAGGAACGACAATTACAGATTCAAGATGAGTCAGTAAACGATTTTAAAGAACAAGATCTATGGTAAGGTCAAACCGTGAACAGTAGCGAAAATAATGGGCTCAATAACAAAAACAAATCGGTGGAGTAAATATGGATCAAAACAATTGGGCCAAACGATCAAAACAATAAAATCGATATTGGATCAAAGAATTGATCAGATTCAAACAAAATATACGAAACAGAGATACGAATCAGGTTGAAATAATACCATATGAACAGTAACAGAATACATAAGTCTCCATGAACAGTTTCTTGAACAAGAATCTTGATTCCAAACCGCCAAAACACCAATAATCTTCAATAACTTGTGCAGAAAATCATCGAATCAAGAACCGATACTTCAAAAATCAATAGATCTTCAAAGACCCGCTCTGATACCACTTGTTGGGATTAAAACCCTAATTGAGATTTGATGAACAAGCTGCGGAAAATAAGAACAAACACAAATATGAAGATTAGGTCGAATGATCACTCGATTTATTCAAACATGAGGAATAAATTACACTTTCAGCATAGACTAAAGAATCTAACACTACATAAGAAACCTCACAACATGGCGGCTACATTTTGCCTCACTCTTAACCCTAATAATGAATAATACATGACTATTTATAGGGAAAAGACAAGTCTTGGGCTTTTAACCTACACTTCATCAAGGGGTCCATTGCCATCATCCATGGAGTGCTTTGAAACCCTACACAACTGAACTTTGAACATAAACAGAAATACAGATGAATACCAACACTGTAGTAACCGAGTAAATAGGAGAACTGATAACTCAAACCTCAGCCCCTGGAACTCCATCCACCTCATGACGTCTTTCGGGTAACTACCAAGCTAAGGGTGTAGGGTCTAGCACCTCGTTGAAAACGAGAAATGGACAACGAGCTCTGATGTGGCCCTCCTGGCCGTAATGGAAACAGACCCACGTACTCCGCCTGCAATACCTATCGAAACGACCCACCTCGCCACACCTGCGACATGCAAAAGATAATCACCTACCGTTGTGAAACTTCCTGCACTTGACACACTCAGAACTTCTCCTCTCAGCTGATCCGAAGCTCAAGTGGGCGGACTTGAACCGCTTGGCTGCCGGCCAATACTGCCCTGAATTTGTCCTCTCCTCCTTCATCTAGATCTCCAAATCAATCTCGTTCTTCCTGGTGCTTGACTGTAACTCAGTCAAGGTCCGATACGGCTGAGTTGACACAAACTCCCGAATCTCCGTCTTGAGCATACTCAAGTATTGTGACATATGCACCTGCTCTGAAGCAGCATACTCTAGACAAAAAACAACTCTTTCTGTAAACATCTTGGTGATCTCCGTCATCGACTTAATCGTCTGCTTGAGCGACAGGTACTTCTATGCCAGTCACTCTCGCTCCACAATAGGAACATACTCCGCACGAAGCATATCAAAAATTGCTCCCAAGTCACTGCGGATCACTCTGCAGGCGAAAAGCCTTGGGTCATAAACTCCAACCAATCCTTCGCACCCCATCGAAGAAGATTCAACGTAAATTTCACCTTCTGGTCCTCAAGACACAAACAAGTGTAGAAGCATCTCTCCACTCCAGATATCCATCTCAAAGCGAAAATCGGGTCCATGTCTCCTCTGAACTTCAGAGGTTTCGTATAACCGAATTTCCGGTACTGCATCACCCCACCAGTCACTCATCTGAAATTGGCATCTTCTCCGGTTACCCATCTGAAACGATTGTCTTCTACAATTTCCCTACAAGTACTCCGGTCATTGTCAAGGTTTCCCCTCCCATACACGGATTACATTGGGAAAGAAACAGAGACAGAGCATATGTAGTCGGAGTTGCAGGGGTTGTCGGTGGGATGGAGGGGTAAAGGGAGAGACCATCAAAGATGAAGTTGTGATTTGAAAGAGAACCAGACGTTGTGAATGTTGATGGAGTTAAGGTTTGTCTTCTTGTTCCTATATTTTATTAACTTATTTATTTTGTAATTATAAGTAATTTAAAAAGAAATATACATTCATTGGCAATTGTGGACTAGATCAATATATGTGGCTTTTTTAAAATGGCGTGGAATTTTAGATCTTATTAAATGACTCAAAGTGACAATTTAAATACCATAAATAGGACATTAAAGCCTTAGAAAACCAAAAAAAATAACTTGAGGGACCTATTAAACCAATTCCAAATACATTGATGGACAAGAGTAACCTTAACCCATTTTATTACAAATTCATCATAAACATAGTTTTATTTCAAATTCGTCCTAAATACTTGTATTGATAACTTAGATACCATTTGGTAGATGAACTGGGTGGAACAGAACTAGATTAGACCTGGCTGAATAGAACTGGGTTGGACAAGACAAATAGTTTGTATAACGTTTGATAAGACTGGAACATAACACAACAAGTTGTCTGAAACTGTTTGGTAACAATAGAGCCGAACATAATAAGATGTAAAATGACCATATTACCCTTTTGCAAAAAATGTTAATAATAACTCTATTTGACACACATAACTTCAAATTTAACATTTTTATTAGAAAAATTACTTAAAATTCTCATATTAACACAAGTTCTAAGAACAAATAATCAAAATTGCTTCAAAATAACAAAATTCTAAACCCAAATAATTTCCGAAATCCATAATTTTAAACAAAAAAAATAAAAATCTTCAATTATAGTCTTCTCAAAAAATGGTTTGGTAGTTGCGTCCAAACTATTTCACATTGGTAATAAATTCAGGTTTTTTGTAAAATTTAAACAAGCCCGCACGACTCATGAAGAACACAACTTTATGGTCTTCAACTCTCCATATCTACAAATTTAAAACATATGAATTACAAAGCAACATATGCATGTTAAGTTGTTGGAGAAGTCGTATGGCATCAAATCGAAATTAAAACATATAAATTAAGAAATTGTTCAACCAAGTGAAGAGATGCATATTTTGAAGTCTAATCTGGTGACGATGAGAATGAGACGACACTTATAAGAATTCAATGGCTGGAGAAGTCGTATGGCATCAAATCGAGGATGAAGAATCGATAATCAGTTTGTGTTTGCGATGGATTGAGATGATTATACGAAGAAGATGATAATTATTTGAAGAATGTGATAATAGCATGAGAATGTAGATATCGAGAATTCTGGAGTCGCAAGCTGGAGACCGTTCCATATGGGATATTTTCGTCACATTAAGAAAAGAGATGAACGTGTTCTACCGAGTTCCACCTATTTGGATGTGACTATTTTATTGAATAAATTGCCCCATTGGACTGGGACAAAATTTCATTCAGTTAGTGTGCCAGACATGCCAAGCACCTCAGCGAACGAAGCCTTAAAACAAACCAAATAGTTATTTTATAAAAAATAATTTGAAAAAGAAATCCCTGGGACCGGATCCGGATCCGGATCCGGCGAACACCCAATCGAAACAATAAACCACACGGACAGATCATGGCCATTGGCCCATTACTACTGAAAAAGCCTAATAAGAGAAAAAGGGTTTCTGAGTCGAGACCTGGGGACTTGGAATAGGCCATGGCGGAGCACAACGAAGAGCCACATGTATTGCCGTCCAAGCGAAAACAAGCTGCCCAAGACGCAGATGCCGAGGCTACAAAGAAGCGCCAAGTAGAAAGTTGTACCGATGAAGACGCCTCCGCTGTTGTCGAAGAGATAACTGTCAACCAACGTCCCAGTGGGGGCGTTGAAATTGATCGGAAGGGGAAAGCGATAATGGAATATGACATAGGTAAAGGGACACTACTGAATGTGGACATGGATAAAAAGATAGTGATTGTTAAGGTGGGTGAAGGGCTATTGGAAGCTGATATGGATGAGGGAATAGTGAAGATAGGGATTGGTAAAGGGAGTATGAAGTTCAATGTGGGTGAAGGAAAGCCGATTGAAGACAAGCTGACTGAAGGAGTCGAGTCGTTCTATGAGGAGTCTGACGAAGATGATGAATCTATTATTCGCTCCACCTATCCGCCCGTCAAAGCTAAATGCTAAGCTGTAAGAAATATTATGCTGTCCAGTCTGTTGAACTATTTCTAATTTTTAATCTCACTCTGTTATTGAATTATGAAGATTCAAAAGAAAGCTTATGAGGTACTTAATATATCTTCTTGTTTGTCAAGTAAGCTTCAATGTCTAGAAATTATCTCTAAGTTCAGATGACATTGAGAACTTGTTTAATTCGAAGATTGGTGTAGAAATCCATGTTTCTATCAGTAATCTAGCTTCATGAAATAATTCTTTGATTTATTGGAACTCGAATTTAAGCATTAAGTTAGTTCAATGTTATGATTTGGATATTAGTTTGGTGATGCAAGTCCAAATTATAGTGTTGACATCTTTAACGAAGTTAAATTTGGATATGTAGAGTGTTAGTGGAGGTTTTGAGTTCAAATTCAATAGCTCATCCTTGGACTAATTATATTTGGAAATTAATCATATTTAATTATACTTTGGAGTTAAGTTACTCTAAATTGCAAATCATTGATGGGAATTCAATGTAGTGGTCATATCTAGGTTTTTTAAATTCTAACCTAAGAGGATGATGATGATCTTTAATAGATGGATCAGTGAGGTTAGTGATGTTAATTAGCTATTAAAAAGAACTGATGTTAATTAGGATGTAAATTTATGTTGGAACAATGTTTTGAATGGTATTAATCTATCCTAAATCATGAAAGTTTATCCCTTGATGAAAATAAGTAATTTGGCAAAAAAACACAAAATAGGACCTTAATTACATTAAACCATATAAGAATTTTTAAGACATAGCAGAAGAACTTGTAAGACCTTGAAGAAAGGGCATACTGATATGTAAGGCCTTGCAGATCTGGTTGCAAGACCTTGCATACCAGACTTTGGAGATTTAGTTTAATAGGTTAACTTAAGTTTAGTTTAATTGTATTCAACTTACACCAAAATTTAGCACCTCCTGTTGTGTCAAATTGGAAGTGGGTATGATACCATGTAAAAGCTCATCTTATTGCCATCACATACATAAATAGGATAAATAATACCGTATTATATAATAATATTTTATCAATAATGGTAATAACAATTATCTAACATTGTAACTATCATTTTACTAGTGATAATGAGCTAAAATTTACTGATAGCTAAAAGAGGCAGACCAGTTTTTGACACATGAACGTTAAGAATGAAAAAAATTTCAATTTATTAACAAACCACTTAAAATAATATTTAGAAGATATAAAAAAAAAATACTCAATTTTTTATTTATGTAACACCCGGAAATTGATACAAAGTATACCCCGGTGGGTTTTTTTCTTTTTTGAACGGTCATATTTGATTTATGTATCCATTCAAAGTTTCATATCAAATTCAAGTGGACCAATATAGCAAAAAGTATACAATTATCCTATTTGGGCGGCATGATCTACGTAACTTCAAAACGCAAATTTAGCTTTGTATCCAAGGTGCTAATGTTGGACCCTCTTCTTACTCTTATTGGATTGACCCGATCTGATCCATCATTAACGATAATAAGACTTGTGGACACCAAATAAACAAACTCAAATGATTCCAGTATATTGATTCAACAGCCAAATACTCCAAATGACCCAAATGAACAAGGCAGCAAACAACAAAGGATAGTGCTAGGAATTCGAGAGCCTGGTCTCTTCAAGTGGAAATTCTCCAATTAGCCAAAGGATGCCTGCAACAACGTGCTCTGTAAACTTCCAAAAATACACTCCACTCAAATGTTTTCTAATTGCTTGTCCTTTGTTTCCTTTTTCCTTTTATTGGAGTACGTATATTTGAGTGGGAGTGTAGCACACTGCAGGGAGGATACATGTATGATACAGTGAAGTTTCTGATATTACTTCACTGCATTGACAAGCAATTAGAAAACATGTTTGATTCAGTGAAGTCTCTGATACATGTTTGATTCAGTGAAGTCTCTGATATTACTTCACTGCATTGACACTGTTTTTGAAACTATATATATGCACCTATAGACATAACCAAAGTTACACTTTGCAAGGGGCGTCTTTTGACGGTCTGCGATGTGGGCGACCACACATCGCCCATGTCGTGGAGGGGCCAAATATTACATATGATTCAATCAACTGTCTAGTAATCTGGTAATCCAAAGACAAAAACCTATGTTTTGTTCCAATTCCAAAAGTTCATTGCTAAAATTAAAAATTGCAAGAGCTCACATTTTAAAATTTTGGCTTAAAATTAAATTTTGCATTTGGGCTAATAGTTGGCTAATATAGATTTGCGGCAAACAAAAGCGCACGTTTTGTATCTATTCCAAAATTCCAAATTTTCAGCAACTACAAAGCTTAAATGATGTTTTTTGTTTCTTGGGTTTTTTTTATTCCATTGAACTCTGTCTCTTGTTTTTTATTGCACTCTCACTCTTGTTTTGATTGTCGAGTATAATTAAACAAGTAAGTATCACTTTTCCTAATTTCGTAATTTGATGGCCTCTTGTTTTTATATTCTAATTGTTGTCGCTGATTAACAAACATAACACATGTATTCCAAATAACTGAATTTATGACCTCACTTTAATGCATTGCGAAATTTGATTTCTGTTTCGAGTGATTTGATTAATTTCCCTGATCGCTAGTTTCCTTCTATTTTATGGAATTTACATAGTTTATTAGAAAAATGTTTATGACTTCTATATTGTTGTTAATGTTATATCATATATAATTTTCAGAAATTATGCATTATAAGCATCTATAGTGCAGTAAAAAACAAGAGAGAGAGAGAGAGAGAGGGAGAGAGAGAGAGAGTCTCAAAGTGGGGCTCTTAATAGGTTTATCCAAAAAAAAACCTCAAGTTTCTTCTCATAATCAAAACATTGGAAATGATAGCTATTAAGAATTATATATTGTAGAGTATTGATTATAAAGAGTCGGTGACCAATTTTTCTTCAAAAAATATAAAGAGTCTTGTCATGCATGTAACTATATATATATATATATATATATATATATATATGTATATATATATATATATATATCATGCTTTTGTCTAAATTGTTTTAATAATATTTATCGACATATTATAGTATTAATGAGTTTTGCTTATATATAGAAAAAATTATATTTAAATGACCATTTTTATTTTTCGCACAAGACCTAAAAAATAATGGGACGCCCATGTACTTTGCCCCATGTTTGCTTTTTACCATTTAGGTTGTGGGGTGTACAAGCACTACACCACCACCGTGCACCACCCTTCACTTTGACTTTGCAGGTGTAGTGTCATGCTCCATCAAGCTGTAACAAAAGAGAAACAAAGGTTCGGTTTGGGTTTGCTTGGGCATCGAGCCCCGTTTTCGCCTAGTTACATCGGCAACCGAAAAAAAGAGAATATGTTAAATTTAGATCTTTTAAAAGCAAAGGCTACCTAGCTAGCGGCTTGACTCATAGAAACTTGTTTTAGTTATTTCGGTTTTGTTGGTTAATTTCCAAGTCTTGACTTGACAGTAGTGAGATGTAACGCCTGCAACTCCGGGCCAGGTAATTAAGATATAATAAGTAATAATTATTCGTTGTGCGAGCGATAAAATGACATTTTGATAGAAGGTTATTTAGGATAAATAACCTTAACCGAAGTTATGGTATATGTGAAAAATATTCTGTACATATAAAGAACTATGAAATCCTACTTCGTATAAAGAAGTTATGCTTTTTTAAAGTTTCGCATATATGGAGTTTGTATAAGTTATAAAAATCACCATTTTAAAACTTATATTTGAGTATTTTAAAATTTGACGTTATTAATGTTTTTATAAAACCGAATTTTATTTTAAACCAATAACTTGTTACATCTTATGTCCACGTTATAAATTTGGAAAACCAAATTTAAGGTGTTATTTTATCATGTGAAAATCTAATTTATCAACCACATATAATAATTGCATAAAATAAACAACACAAATATACATAAAAATAAATGTCCATAAACATAACCAACTAATGATATTTTTTTATGAGTCAGCACAAAAAATGTCAAGTACATTCCTAAAGGGAAATTTTAAGGGACCAAAAAATTTATTGTAATGTTGTTGTAGAAGCTCTTACTTGAAAAAACACCCCTTGATTGCAAAAGCTTGGAAAAACTTCTTTAAAGAAATATTTCAGAAATATGCAACACTTTTTAGTAAAGGCTGCATAAAAGGTTGCATTAGGTCCAACAGCTCCAAGGGAAGCTGTCAACAGCAACTCCTTTTGCAACAGATTGTTGAAAATGTTGTCTTTGTCCCTGCACACCTCAAAACCTCGAAAATTGTCTTCTTGTCTTCAAAAAAATGGCTTCAACTTCATTTCTTGTTACATTTTTGTACAAATAAATTATTTCTAACAATTAATCTATTATTTACAAAAATAAACCAAGAAAACTAACATATTTAATTTATTACATACCATACGAATAAATAAATTATTACAACCATTTGTATAACAAAAACAACAAGCACAACAACACAACCAACACAATGGTCATTGGCTAGTTTATGCACATCATACATATCAATATACACATTAGACAACCTTTGTTTTTCTAAGACAACTTTAAATGACAAAAGATGCATGAAAACTTTTGTCACATAAAATAACAATTATAAAGTTGTCATAGAAAATATGTATGAACTTGTTTTTACATAAAATCAAGTTATCCATATGTAACAACCCAATTTTCATGCCCAAAAATTTCATTTTTAAATCAATACTTTGGAAAATATTTGTGAATAAACATCATCCAATCATATCATTTCATAAAAACATATCTCGTGTCTGAAAGCCAAATCATAAAAATATAATAATGTCAGAGTACAATCCCAGAACATCTCATAATGCGGAAAACCCACGCGTGTGTGTATGATGTGCCGCTACCGCGCCAGCTCTTTCCCCTTCGCTGAAGAGGTACCTGAAAACAAAACTGTAAACCGTAAGCACAAAACTTAGTGAGTTCCCCCATCGTCCACATACCACACAATCATATAGCATACG